CGCCCATCATTGCTGATGCAGCTGCCAAGATAAGTGAATTGATCAACCACCTCAAGTTCCTCGTTAGCAAGCGTCAAGGGGTCATGGAGTGGCTGGTGGTCCTGCAGCAACACTTTGAAGGTGCGAAGTGCATACCAAATAATGGGACCACTCTGGCTAGGCTATTCAGGATTGATTGTGCCGCCTCAACATTGTCGAAAAGCAAGACGATATCGTCCGCATAATCTAGATCAACTAACCGTTCACCAGGCAGCACTTCAACACCTACATCGTGAGATTCCGCAAGGGAACACTCCATGATAGAATCCACGACGAAATTGAACAAAAATGGGGAAATCGGGGAACCCTGTCGAACGCCACTGGTAGTCGAAAAGCTATCCGATAGGACACCATAGACCCTGACGCGGCTTCTAGTGTTCGAGTATAGATCACGAAGGATGTTCACATATTTCGTGGGAACACCTTTCCGCGCAAGTATTTCGAACAGAATCGATCGATCGACTGAATCGAACGCACTCTTGAAATCGAGGAACACAGCTATTGTCGGTCTGCGGTATGCGTGACGCTGCTCTAGCACCTGCCGCAAAGTAAATATATGGTCTATACAGCCACGTCCTGGGCGAAAACCGGCCTGCTCTTCTCTAATCCGAGATTCTCGTTCTGCACGTTAGCTAGAGGTGGGGAACACCTCAGCTACTGTGCCGTAATACATAGAAAAAAAGAGAACAAATGCAACAGGTGCAAGCCAGCTGAGCTACCGGTAACGGATGGGCATCGTTCCGGTAAGCTATCAGCCGGCTACTATGTAGCAAAAAAAAGTAATTTCCTATGCAAAGTTATAAAATGTTAAATAATGAGATCGTGGTTGGAGGGGGAGGCTAAGAGGGTTGGGGTGAGACAAAGAAACTCACAGCACGAACGCCACTGAGGTCGGCTCCGAACCAAATCAGCAGGTGTATCCAGCCAAGCGTGTTCATCGGCTTTCAGACACCAACCAGGGAGCCGAGACGCTCCAACTGAGGCCAGTTCCGAAGTGAGGACCTTCGTTCCTCTCAACCAAGTCATCGCTTGGATACCCCTCCTCTTCTTCTATCCACAACCCCGGTGAGCGAACAACGCACGTCGCGGGAGTCGGTGGGCTCGCATGCGCAACACGTGGCCGAGCCATCGGAGCCTGATGCGTGAAATGACGGTGCTGAGCGGTTCATTTCCTTCTCCTGTGCCGTAACCAAGGCGTCGAACACGCTCGTTGCTAAATCGGTGTTCCTACCAGATGTGTGCTACATTCCGAAGGCACCGGTGGTCGAACGTAACTAGCCTCTTTAGGTCCGTTGATCTACGCAGTCAAGTTTCACAACCGTACAGTGGGGTCGAACGTACCGCTGCATTGTACACTCTACCCTTCAGGGCGAGGGTAATGTCGCGCCGGCGCCATAAGTGGCGGAGGTCAGCAAAAGCGTTTCGATCTTTTGTTGTATGGTTCGTGATGTCCTCTTCAATCCCACTAACGCTGATACAACTTCACAAGTAGTGAAATTTTTGAACGACTTCTAGCTGATCCCCACCAAGGGTCAGTGTTGGAGGCGATCCAGACCAATCTTGGAGAAACGATTTGCACTTCGATGGTGCGAAGCAAAGCCCGAAGTGACGGACAGCCATAACTAATCTGTCTGGGGGCTGTCACAGATTAGGGCAATATCATCCGTATACTGTGAGTCAAGAAGTCGTTCTCCTGGGAGCAGACTCACGCCTTCTAAGTGGTGTCCTGTAAATGCGATTTCCTTGACTTCATCAATAACGAGGTTAAAGAAGGAAGGTGACAGCGGGCATCCTTGTCTCACACCGCTGGAGATATTGAAGGGTGGCGACAGCTTGCCGTAAGCCCTCACTCTACTTGAGCTACGCGCGTATAATGCTCGGATAATATTTACATAATTCTCAGGTACACCTTTCTTGAGTAGACACTCTCAAAGTGCACGTCTGTCCACCGAATTGAATGCACCTTTGAGATCGAGGAACACGATAACGGTGGGCCACCAATATATGTGACGGTTCTTTAGCAACCGACGCAAGGTGAAGATGTGGTCGCTGAAGCCACGACCTCGACGAAACTCGGCTTGATATTTACGATTATGGATTTTACAAGTGGCAGTCAGCTTGTGAAGAATAACAGAGGCAAGCAATTTGGAAGCGATGGAGATCAGACTGATTCCTCAATGGTTGCCGCATTCCGATCGTGAGCCTAGCTTGAAATTTGGGACTATGACGGAGCGGCTCTAGTCGGTTGGGACAGTTTCCTGCTCCCACAGTTTCACTAGTAACTCGTGTAAATCATTCACAAGAGCAGGTCCCCCGAATTTGAAGAGGGCTGGAGGTAGATCATCTAGTCCCGCGGCCTTATTTGACTTCAGCAGTTCGATCTCACGTTCGACTTCTGAGCGAGAGGGTGGATCAAAAGGGACAGCCCACGGAGCAGGGCGATCACTGGTCGGCGAAAAATCTGACCATTCCGACCGATTAAATTGCCTTTCAAAGTGCTCATCTAACGCTCTAAGCGTTTTGACAAGTTGTGGATAGGCTGTCCACTCTCGTCACATATGGTTTCACTAATCCCAGGTCTTCTGCTGCCCGTTTCCCGTATCAGCCGGAATAACTTGCGATGGTTAGTAAGGGCAGCGGCCATTTCCATCTCTGACGCACGACGAGTCCACCGAGCTTCGCGGTTTCTCTTCAGGCTAGCACGGAGTTTTGCCCGGAGGTCTTTGCGAGTTTCATTGTGTTCGCTTCCAGCCGGAATATGCCGGCGAGCATCGATAAGTTCCAGAGACTGTGAAGAGCGCCATGCCCATGTTGGCGATTAGACTCACCACATGAGGATTTTCCTGCTGCAAGTAAGGTCTGGTGAATATGCGACCAGTGAACTTCAGTTGCATCCAGTGAGCACTTATTCAACTCGCATATCAACGTACTTTGATAGGCATTCAGAACAGCTGGCATTGCCAGTTGGTTGGTGCCAATGCGCTCTCAACGTCGCCGTGGGCTTCCGCCAAAGCGCATCCGCATGAAAGCACATACAGGTACGTGGTCGGTGTCTGCACATGTGCTCCAAATCGAGGGACAGTTCTGAACAGAGCCTATGCATCGGTAACTTATCGCAATGTGATCGATTTGCGTCCATAGCTGGTTCGAGGCTGGTGGCCGCCAAGTAAACCCTCCGGCGGGTGCTGTGTCGGAAATTAGTGCTCGCAAGAAATAAGCGAGCATCCTCACACGAATGAGGTTACCGTTCACCGTTATCATTAAGGGAGTCTACACCGTGCTGACCGCCCAGGGGCAGCTCCTCAGTGGATAACTTTCCAACTTGAGCGTTCAGATCCCCAGCCAGCACTACAGTATCCGTGCTTCTGTGGCGAAGGAGCTCGTTCAGTTGACGATAGAAATCGTCTTTTACCTAGTCATCGCCACAGTTTGTTGGTACGTAGACAGCGATAACGAATAGACGCCTGTTGGTCCCACGCGACTTAGAAGTTTTGAACGAGCCAGCTAATCGGACTGCCCACATCCGGCTACTGATTGGGATCCAATCAACCAGAGTAGCTTCAGCCCGTGGACTCAGGGCAATACCAACACCGGCTTGGCCGGTACTCGAAGCTGCATCGTCACTGGATAGGCGTAATGAGAAAGTGCTGCTAGTGTCATCTGAAGGGGGATCGCAGAGTGAGCACAGAGCTCGAGTCTTGCAGACGGATCTCCGATAAGCAGCAGATTATCGGTGGATTGGGTCTCTAATGTTCGGGCAAGTGTTGCCTGTGGACCGATCTGAAGCAATGTAAGTACATTGAAGCATGTCATTCTGAAGGAGGATCGCGGGCTCCAAATGTAAGTCTATGCACTGGGCTTGTTCGCTTGCTTAGACATGGGCATGAAACGATTTTCGGTTCTGACGACCGTTTTTCACGAATGATTGCTCGCGTGTGTTGGTTACATCACCTAAGCGAGATGGTAGTCAGACCGAGTGCTTTGAGCGAACAGCCCCTGCCTCCAAAACGTTGTTCTCCGATACCGCTTGGGTTGGCTCCGCCGCGTATTGAGCATGCGAGTCTATCACCTTCCTCATCGAACGTTATTTATGCTTTTGCTGAATTTCCGCTGCTCGCCATTGTCTCTTTTATTTCATGCTTATGTGGGGTGACTGATGTCTTGCATCACAAGAATCAGTTCTCTTGTTTTATAGATCATCTACGATCTTCTTTGCCTTTGGATCCCTGCACGCTACATAATTGATGTTAGAGGTCGTTTCTCAGAATCCCATTCCCGTTCACTCCTCTCTGATCACTACTGGGTGTATTAATATTTTTGGACAGACTCACTGGTAAACAAGGCATGGAACCCACATTGTGTCTACTTCTTCTTAGTAGGCAACGGTACATCGCAGTCACTTTCAGCATCTACGAAACCATATACATTTGATAGTGAGCAAGTTGTTGTGATATAGTGATTCCTTCTAGTTCGTACTTCTGTCCTTGTCAACATTAGCCGCTGATCTTTTGCCTTTGACCTCACGACTCTGTTCTTACTCTCAGTAGCGCTGGAATCAGCCGGACTCGACAGTAACCACAACAGCAACAGCACAATACCCAGTCTAAAGCCTGGCGTAGCATACGTGTGTCTACGCTGCTAACTCACAGATGTGGTCGGTGGTCAAGGCTGATCGTTCCAGTATATGCAGCTGACCGCGAAGGCCAAGGTGTACGATGTTTAGCTAGGAGGCATCGCTTCATCATGCTTACAATCCCATACCGCCTTGGATGTCATCTGCATTCAATCAGTGAGCTTCAACTTACGCTACTAGCGTATCTACTCGATAGACTCTGGCTTACGTGCCTCATGATTGACTTTCAGGTACTGCAATTCTCGTTTCGTCATCCGTGACGTGTTCTTCAACGTAATCTTACTGCATCTTACCACAGCGCCGCCATCCATTCTTCTCTTCTTTTTCAGCTATTACTTGCATGTTTCATGCTATCGTCTAAATTCTTGTTATGACTAATTTGGAGTAAGTTAGTGTTTTTGAAACAGACAACAACGCTCCTACTAGATCGACACATACCCGTGACGAGATATGTGATATTACTAATGAGGAAGGCCGGAATTTGTTTGATATTTGTTGTACTCGATGCTCCAGCATCATCTTGAAGAAAAATTCAGCTGCCTTTATTTCGAAAGAAGTCAGTCTTTACTGGTTGCCTTCGTTCTTGGTATTTCGTGTTATCGCGAATGCTTGCTTTTCAGTTGTTTTCGCTGTATTAGTGCCATCGGAGTCAACCGTTATTTTAAACGTGTTCACATAAAGTTAACCCATTCACCGAAGCTTCGTATATTGAATGATCTGAGTTAGCCACATGGCTTGTCCGTGTCTGAATAAGCTATCTGCTTGTATTTAGTCCATGATCTGTCAACCCAAACAAACGAACTGTGTTCCTTTTTACAATTACTCAGTCTTGTTCTGTTTACTTCCCAACCTGTCCAGCTTATGCGTCCTGAGAATGTCCTAAACCATGTTCCACCATGACGTTTCTGTTCACCTTCGGTTTTATCTTTGATTCCGCTGTCTCATAATCTCAAAAGACTGGTGCGAGCTAATTCAAACAAACACAAGATCCAACAATAAAAATTGGCTAGCACTGAAACCCATTTTTCCTTTTCGCCCATTTTTGCACCTCTGATCACCATCACTGACATTCTTTTCGTTACTCCAACCGCAGCATTATCGGAGTGTAGTCGTCTTGATCCACATTACCAAACTATCCAGTATTCCTTTGTCAACAACACTTTTCTACACAAGGTTTTTATAAGACACTGTGAATTTATATCACAAGACAAGTCCACATATCGCATTTACACACCCGCTGGATATCCTCGATTTTTGTTTGCTGCTTTTCCGAATCTATGGTTCATGAGTCATTGTAGGAATAATTTTACCCAGATTATTCCTTCGCTTTTGCTTACACGCATCCGGAGATGCATTTGCAGTAGCCACAGTTCTAGTTAGCATCTATGAGTGCATCCTCACTGAGCCATAACATTGCCATCAGCAGCCGCCTGCCTGAAACTTTTTGATAGCATTTATGAAGGAGCAGTGCACGATACTATGTTTGCGGCTACCGCCAATGCTCCGGCCTTCCGCAGCCCCGATGGTATCAAAACCGTATCAAGTCAAACTTAGTACGCTAGTTTGCAGTGTTACTAGCTAAACATCACTCCAATTTTATGGAAAATGAGTGCGCCATTAGTTCGCTTACTCTGCTCGGAAACAGATAGGTGTGGGGTTTGCGGTTAACATCTGACGCGTGGAATAGTGTTTGTTTCAGTTGCGCGCTGATCATCGACCACTTGCTGAGGCAACCTTGCTTCTCAATTCGCCTGATGCGACCGTGTGTGTGTGCATGGGCGAACATATACAGCTGCTGGACTATTGGGACAGTAGGCCAGTAAAGCTCGAGCGGGTTTGATGAACTCATTACAACCTACACTGTTCCACTAGTCCAGCAGCTGCATTAATTCGCTCACACACCCACAGTAAATACACGAAGGTCCATAGAGTGATAGGGGACTACTGGCTCACCACCTATCCGCTACATCAGCTACGGTCCCAATGATTGGATTGGCCCAAGTTTACTTCACTGGGAATCCCGGTCCACATCATTGCGCATCGCAATCTATTCACAAAACGAGTGCTTCGCATTGACCATTGCTGGGTAACATTTGTGAAAGTCATAATAGACTATGCGATTGGGGAGTCTGATTTTCCAATAATCACACAGCTACATAGGTTTCTGCGTAAAGACACAGGCATATAAACTACGCAAAGGCCGATAGGCAGAGAGGTGGAAATTCAGTCGCCGCCTATGATCGAAGTTCATGATCAAGTGAAGAGTTTGCAATGACAACCGCTGCTCACAATTCTGTTGTATTACATGATTACGATGTACTGTGGACGTTGTCCAGTCACCTTACACTTCATTCCTTGTTAAAAATTGCTGATTTTCTGCTTAGCATGCAATTTGTCTAATTCTGTTTGCAAAATGTTCCATTTTTCTTGCTGAACGTCCAAATTATATATGTATATATATATACATATACATATATATATATATATATATATATATATATATATATATATATATATATATATGCTTGGTGGCATCCGGTTTCGGATTTGCCTGTCACTGTGGCCAGCCACCGGACGCCTGCGCTTACAGTGGGACCATGGATGACTTGAGCTGCACCACCCACAGCTCCATCCACACACCCCAAATCCAATGTAAACCCGAAGGAATAAGATCGGGAGGCATGTGGATGGGAGCCACGTTTCATCAACGGAGCCGGCCCACACTCCTTCACAGACAAACACAAGCACGCTGTATTTGCGAATCAAGCGCACACAAGACGGTGCCTAGACCGTAGTCCGCTCCACACTGAGCGCATGGAACCACTCGTTGATCCTAACACGGCCGCACGGATGGTGCACCCCGTTCCCTCCAGCAACGACTAACTGTCTCCTAGAGCCAGTATGGACGAGGTAGTGGGTACTAGACAGGTAGACACCTTGCCAACATGCACATCAAGCGCAGCAACAGCTAATCACATGAAACGACCATATCAAGTGAAATGAATTGAATAATGGACACAGATATGCCGACATAGCTCTTTACTAAATAAGCATATGAAATAAATTAGTAGCCAAAATATCCGCTATAATTTCAAGACGTCAGAAAATATATTTTAGGCAAATAACACAAATGTAAAAATGTTATCAAAGTTAACTACGATTAAATTGAGAGACGTGTGCAAGTTAATATGAGATTGTTCACGTAGGCAATAATGAGACAATATAGCGAACCCACCACTTGAAATAAAGGGACCCAGCATGTAAGCAAGCCGTTAGTAAATCGAATGCAGCGTACCTACAAACGCTGCGCCGGTTCTGCCTACGTTCTCTGCTGGACCCGTCGTCGCTTCGGTAGTGGTCCCAAGTGGCCTCCCTCAAGACTCACTATGCCTGCCTGACTCAGGCGCTCGCGATCGCATGTGCTACAGCACCATGCGCCCGATGTCGATGGAGTACAACCCATCGGTGCTTGCCGCTTCCGCACTTGCCGCTTCTTCTCTGCATGCATGAGGTCTTTCTCCCGCACTTCGGCAACTGTCTTCGTGATCAGATGGAGCCATGCACGCCGATCAACCGCCTTCGATTCCCATGACCTGCAATCAAGATTAGAACGTGTGAGGCTCACTTTGATCATGTCCTGGTAACGTAAATTTGGTTTCCCCACATGTCGCTTCCCAATACCCAGCTGATCATTTACTAGTTGTTTCGGTATCCGCGTCGAATCCATACGGCTCACATGACCGAGCCACCTCAGGTGTCTCAGCAAGAGTATGCAGTCCACTGCATACATTCCACTTCGCCGCGACGCTTCTGTGTCCGCAACTCTGTCGTCCCAACCGATGCGCAAAATCCGTCGCAAACACTGCTGATGGAACCGCTCGAGATATCGCACATCCTGACGGTACATCGTCCACGTTTCACTGCCGTATAGAAGAACGGACATCACCACGGATTTGTACACCATCAGCTTCGTGCCAATGGTAAGCTGATGGTTGTTCCACACTCGGTACTCAAGCTTCCCGAATGCCGCCGCTGCCTTCGACACGCGAATACGCAGCTCACTTTGTAGCTGCTGATCAGTCGGCATCATACTCCCAAGGCAGCAGAAGCCGGAGGTGGTTTCCAATACTTCAGCACCAATGCTGATTCGCGGCAATATTGAATATTGCACCTCCGGTGAAGGCTGAAAGAGACAGACAGTTTTGCTTGTGTTGATGGTGAGCCCGAATTTGGTCGCTGTCGAAGCCAGAGCACTAGTCATATGTTGCAACTCATCCGCGCTGTGTGCAAACAACGCACAGTAGTCAGCAAACAGCAACCTACGGACAGTTGTCTCACAGACTAGAGTTCTCGCACCGAAACGACGGATGTTCAGCAACCCACCATCAATACGGTGCTCTACACGAATACCATAAGCACAAGCGGCATCAAAAGCACAAGACAACATTGCATGCAGGTATATATTAAACAGGGCAGTAGGTAAGATACAGCCTTGCTTCACACCAGTGACAACTGCAAAGTCATCCGAGGTCTCTCCACTCAGCTGCACCCTCGCTCGCATACCACTGTGCAGACATTCAACTAAACTTACGAACTTACGCGGGCAACCCAACTTACCCAACACCAGCCACAATGCCTCGCGGTTCACCGTATCAAATGCCTTGGTGAAATCAACAAAATGCGAGTACAATGGCTGGTGTCGTTCTCTGCACTTCTCCTGCAACTGACGAGCCGCAAACGCCAAATCTATTGTGCTGCGACCCGAACGGAATCCACATTGCTCTTCCGCCACGTTCGGTTCCACAACCTGACTGATGAGACTGTTGAGTAGGATCCGGGCAATCACCTTGCCCACACAACTCGGCAAGTTTATGCCACGATAGTTCGTGCAACATTGCTTGCTACCTTTGCCCTTGTACAGTGTTAGCACAAGGGCATCCTTCAGCTCAGCAGGCACCTCAATCCATACACGTTGCACCAAGTGGTACAGCGCAGTCAATAACGCGGGTCCGCCGTGTTTCAATACTTCAGGCGGGATCCCGTCGGCTCCGGCACAGTTCCAGTTTCGCAGCTGAGCAAGTGCTCTCTGCGTCTCATCCAGTGTCGGCGTGTACCCCAGACTCGTTTTCACATCGTGTTGCTTGAGGCCGTTCAACGTAGGCCAGTCGATCTTTGAACGGTTGTTCAAGAGACAGTCAAAGTGTTTTCGCCAGATCTGCATTATGTCTGCAATTTGTGTACTGGTAGCGCCTGAGCTACCATCCATCAGCCGCATCAGCTGCTCCAATCTCGGTCCATACACCGCCTTCAAGGAGTCAAAGGATTCCTTGGGTTGGCGGTGTTCGGCGTAGCATTCCATCTGCTTCGCCTTCTCCGTCCACCATGCATTTTTTATGCGACGGAGCTCTCGGGTCAGTCGCGGTCGAAGTTTGCGAAACTGACTACTCTTCCCCAAGGAAGAGAATGTTAAATTTACGCGGCGGGAGTGCAATACATCGATTAACGAAAATATATGTACAGTTTGGTCCGCACAAACTTGTGATCAGTGCCACACTC